CGTGTCCCCCCTGCTCAGACGCCCGTCCCCTCCTGTGTCCTCCCATCTGACAGCGTCCCCCTGACAGTGCCCGCCATGTCCCCCTGACGGTGTCCCCGTGTCCCCCATGTCCCACTGACGGTGTCCCTGTGTCCCCCGTGTCCCCATGTCCCGCTGACGGTGTTCCCTGTCCCCGTCCCCAGCTGGCGCAGAAGTACGACCCGCAGCGGGAGCGGGAGCTGCGCGCCTGGATCGAGGGGACCACCGGCCGCCGCATCGGGGACAGCTTCATGGACGGCCTCAAGGATGGCGTCATCCTCTGCGAGTATGACCCCTGACTGATGACCAGAACCCTGACCCCAACCCTGGCCCTGGCTCGGGGACCGGGCTGTGCTTTGGGAGCGCGGCCCACCCCAGCCCCTGACCCCGGCTCGAGTCTGGGGTCATCCTCCAGGAACTCAGCCCAATCTTGACCCCAGACCTTGAGCTTGACCCCATCCCTTGTCCCCTCGCTGACCTCACCTGAGTCAGGGCTGACCCTGACCAGTGAGGGCTGACCCCTGCTCCGACCCTGCCCTTGACCCCTGCCCTGGCCCTGACCTCGGCCCCCCGCCCCCCAGGCTCATCAACAAGCTGCAGCCCGGCTCCGTGCAGAAGGTGAATGAACCCGTCCAGAACTGGCACAAGGTGAGGGGGCCCCGAACGGGGGGCTGGGGCCCGGGGGGCCCGCGGGGCTACTTGGGGTCTGCAGGGGGTCAGGGTCCCGTGGATGGGCCAGGGGCCCGGGCTCTGAGCCGACCTGTGTGCAGCTGGAGAACATTGGGAACTTCCTGCGGGCCATCACGCGCTACGGGGTGAAGCCCCATGACATCTTCGAGGCCAATGACCTCTTTGAGAACACCAACCACACGCAGGTCCAGTCCACCCTCATCGCCCTCGCCAGCCAGGTGACCCCGCTGGGGCGGGACGGGGCCCGGGGTCCTGGGGGGTCCTTGGGGAGCGACTGGGGGGTGCTGGGGGCTCCCTACGTCCCCTGCGAGGACACCAACTGCATGCAGGCCCAGTCCTCCCCCATTGCCCTCACCTGCTGGGAGGTGGGGCCCAATGGGGCAAAGCCGGGGGCTCGGGGAAGCCCTGGGGGGGTATTTGGGGTCTCAGGGGGCCTGAGGCAGATGGGGCCTGGGGGAGTTATGGGGCTGTCCCAGGGGATAATGTGGGTCTGGGGGCTCTGGTGGGGCGAGGTCCTGTGCACGCCCTGAGCCCCAGGGTCTCACGCAGGCCAAGACGAAGGGGAACAACGTGGGTTTGGGGGTGAAGTACGCGGAGAAGCAGCAGCGGCGCTTTCACCCCGAGAAGCTCCGTGAGGGCAGGAACATCATCGGCCTCCAGGTGACACAGGGACACCTGGGGGGGGGGGGGGGGACAGGGGCGGGGGGGCGGGGGGGGGGGGGGGGGCACAAGGGCATGGGGGAGCACAGGGAGATGCCAGGGTGCACGGGGATTCTGGGGGACGTCAGGGCACACGGGGTGCCCAGGGGTACCTGGGGGGGTCTCCTGGGGACATGGGCTTCAGCTGCGGACTGGGGCAGGGGGAGCAGTCCCAGTGTCTTGGGGCCAGTCAGTGCCATCGGGGACACCGTCCCTGTCCCTGCCTGTGACCCCCTCTCCCCCATCCCCAGATGGGCACCAACAAGTTCGCCAGCCAGCAGGGCATGACGGCGTACGGAACACGGCGGCACCTCTACGATCCCAAGCTGGGGACGGACCAGCCCCTGGACCAGGCCACCATCAGCCTCCAGATGGGCACCAACAAGGGTGCCAGCCAGGTGGGGACAGGGGGAGCACTGTCCCCAGGGGCATCAAGGGTGCCAGCCAGGGGGGCAGGGGGGAACGCAGACACTGTCATCCCTCGGGGACTCCACTGCGTTGGGCCAGCCAGGTATGCGGACACAGGGACGCTGATGTGCCCCAGGGGACCCCAGTGTCCCGGGTCAACCAGGTGAAGGGACCTGGGGACATGGCACTGGAGGGAGGGGGTCAGGGAGACCCCATGGGCAGTGGGGGGAGGATGGGGGCGTCCCCCCGGTCCCCATGGCGGGGCCGAGGCCGACGCCCCCAGCGCTGCCCTTGTCCAGGCGGGGATGACAGCACCGGGGACGAAGCGGCAGATCTTCGAGCCGGCGCTGGGCATGGAGCACTGCGACACGATGACCATCGGGCTGCAGATGGGCAGCAACAAGGGCGCCTCGCAGCAGGGCATGACAGTGTACGGGCTGCCGCGGCAGGTCTACGACCCCAAGTACTG